AAGTGGAGAACATACCTGGTCTCTGAAAGCAGCAGAAATGAGGCTCTGCTCCTTGTACCTACGTGAAATAATCTATGTCAATAGAGCACAAGGAAGGGTGCCTGAGATATAAATGCAGATATTTTGCTGTATAACCGTGGGGCTATGCCCACCAAGTGAAAATTTCATTGTAGTCAGCTGAAGGGACCTCATACTCTTAGGAGCCCACATCCCACAGCACATGGTCACCCAAGAGAGCAGGCAGTGGCTGCAGCCAAAACGTGGACAAAAATGTAGTGTGTGTGGAGGGAAAAGATAGGATGAGAAACCTACAGGAGATCTGTGAGGCAGGGATGATAGCCTTATTACCTGGGGTCTAGGTGGAGCAACCGCAAGCAGAAGGAGGAGAAAGGGAATACAGCCTTATTCTTTGGCATTGCAGTCAGAGAATGTGATTTTCCTTTGTAGAGAGCCGTGGTGTGCCTGTTGATGTCCTTGCACACTTCTGAATTTTCTCTCCTTTTTCCACCATGACTATTTCAGCATCTTAATCACCCCATCATAGTCAGGGGAAGTGGGACCATGCACAGCCAGAAGTGTATTACCTCCTGAAAGCAGGCTGAATGGCTCCTCTGTTTAGTCAAATGGAGCAAATGGGTGCAGAATAGTGCTCATGGTTCCAGCTCTCAGGTGGCCAGCTATGAGATGTGTGACTGCAGCACGACCACAGGACTAGCATCCTCATTTGACAGTATTACCCATTCCAATTGTTCTGAGAGTTAAGAAGTGTTTCTCCTACACTTGGAAATACTTTCCCCTCTTGGAGCTGATTTAGCATGCTGGACTGCTTCTGCAAGGGCCAACACAGTGTGGTGAGAAGCAGGTAAACACAAAGGAATGGAAAGAAGTTGTCTCCTCTTCTAGACAGATTCTAATTCTCCCTTGCTCTAGACATCCTTGGTAGCACCAAGGTTTTGGAGATCTCCAGTAGAAACCCAGTAGAAGAGATATAGGAATGTTTTACCTAGGCCAATCCACATTCACATAGTTTACTGAGTATTAAAAACATCTTGGAAAATGCTATTCTGAGCCTCTTGATGCATTCAATACTTCCAAAATATATTTGTAGTGTTCTGGGGTCATGGAAACAACATTCTTTCCTTAAGCTTTTGGGTGTCCTGAATATTGTGGATCCATGCTGTGCAGAGAGCAAGCACAGATGGTGCTAGATACATCTCCATGGACCACCAGTCACCACGAGCTGCACAGTCAGGGAGATGAAGAATGAGTGGCTGATGGACTCCAATCATTTCTGCATGTCTGCTGTTGTCTTGCAGGTGTATAGCAGAAACTCAGGTCAGAATCCACCTCTTGGTGCCTCCCCCTGTTGTTCTTCTAAGGAAACCTCTTTTAAACACGTGATTTCCCTTCCCCATCCTTAGAGAGACAACAGAAGAATTTCACTTACCTTGCTGGAAGAGTTGAAAACCAGTAACTTGTATTCTTGAATGCTCTTGCCATATTTTAGATAGGAGTTTGTCAGGGGAAAACCTGATACTGAAGATCCCGACTTGTGCTTTGTATTCTGTTCTGTTCTCTTCTTGACACCTCTACCTTCTTCTAGTTGTTTAAAGCAAGACACATTCCCAGTGATGGATCAAAGAATGGGGACCAGGGCCTCCCTACTTCCAGGCTCAGTCTCCTGTCTACCAGGCAGACTACCCTAAAGCTTGGCAGCTAGGCTCCCCTCCAGACACTGGAAGATAGGGGATTGAACATGCCACAGTAGGCAGACAACAAAATGCAGGTCTCTCCCTGGCACTCATCACTGTTATAAGCATCAATGATAGTACGGGCAGACTCCCAGTTGTTTTTTTGAATGAACTGTCTGTGAAATTTGTGCTTTGAGCAGGAGTGAATGGCAAGTTCTGGGTCCATCTCCTAGTCTGGGCCATTTGGTTCTTCCTTAGAAGGTGAGCAAATACATAATCAAGGCAAAATCTTGCTGACCCTTCCTGACTGTCCTTCTGTCTTTCTCTCTGAAACTAGGCACAGAGGACAGTGCCACTTTTTCACTTTGCTGCTACTCGCTCTGAGTGAATCAGTGGCTGGATGCCTCCTCAATGACCTTTTGAAGATTGTCACTCTCCCACTGTCTCTGTAAATACCAAGTCCTTCTCTCCTCAAAGCAGGGAAAATGAGTCAGCTGAGGATCCCAAGGACAACTTACCCATCTCCTGTCTAAACCCAACAGCTTTCCTTACTCTCTGCATCTTTTGTGCATGACTACACTCTTCTTGGGCATAAGAATCTTCCTGTATGGGGTGGCTGGGGTGACCTCATTGCCCACTTCCTTTCCCTGGATGAGGGTGGCCTTTTGCTTCTAGCTGCTTGCAGCTGACTGAATGCCTCCAGCACACTCTCTTCTTGCAAGCCTGCAGCTCCCTTGCTGGGAGGCAAGCAAGGGAAATCACACAGTCATAGTGTGAACATTTGAGAAACATTTATAGAAAAGGGACAGAAAAGAAAGTCAATATTAATAAATTACAGAAAGATAGAACATCTGCGCTAAATTATTGCAAACTCAAGTGAGAGTGGAAAGCTAAATAAATAAAGAGAAAATCATGTTAAAGAAGGAGATGAGTAATAGAAAAATTCTCCTTCAAAGTGCCACCAGTTAGCCTTTTCGTACAGCACTATATACAAACAAAACTAACAGAGACATAACAGGGGTCAGAAAGCTTGATGCAGCTGACTAACAGCTGTCAGCCCTGTTTATTCTGCTCCCTTCTGACTCTACATTATTTTATGGCTTGGCTAAGTGCAGTGCAAAGAGAGGAACCCTGAAGGTTGAGTTTTCTTGCCCCATCAAAGTGGCCAAGAGATGGACTAGATGAAGGCAGAGGTCCTGTGCAGGCAAGGATGATGAAGTAGGTACCTGCATTCAGCATGGGTTTAGGAATGGTCTTGGAGAAACCATACAGCAGTAAAGAAATTTGAATGGCCAAGGAGCTCAGCAGCTCCTGGCCTGTGAAAGGAACACCTTTTTTCTTTTGTTCTTCTAGTTCTGTTGCCATAGCTGCTCCCAGTTGGATGTAATGGGGCACAGAGGTTGAAGTAGGTGACTTTTAAGCATTCCTTCCAGGCATGAGGCTTGATGCCTCATATATTGCCTTTATTCAGTGATGGGACTGAACAAGAAGTTCAAGTTGACATATGGACAAGTAGGAAAGCATCTCAAAATACAATAGACTGTTTCTCTCTGTCCTAAAGCAAGATCAACTGGACCATTCTTAATAAAGTTACTTGCTTATTGGTCCTAAAAACGTTTTGAGATGGCTACTCCATACCTTCCTCAAGCAACCTACACTTGTTACTAGAAAAAAAATTTGAATGCCTAAGTTACTTTTCTTGTAGCAAGGTAAACCCAAAGATTTGCTATGTCCGTAAAATTAGAACACCAGATCCCCTTTTACTTTGCAATAGCCATCTACATGTTGAAAGTAAGTCATCATTTCTCCTTCAGTCTTCCTTAAACCACCATGATTCTTTCTGTCTTTTATCATAAACTGCATTTTCTACATTTTGGGCAGTTCCTGCTCTTCATTTTTGCAGAAGTGCATCCTTAAGCTTAAGAAATAAAATTTTCGTGAAGGCCTTCCGACTGACAAATAGAATGCAGTGCCACTTTTTATGGTGTGGAGGCTTGAATTCCTGTTTGCACAATTCCATGTGATAATTTGCCTTTTCCACACCAGCCTGTCATTGCTGTTTCAGGTTCAGCTAACCCACAGATCCTTTTTTCCCAGGGACTCCTTTCTAACCAAAATATCCTTCTACATTTTTAGCATCATAAAATTTACTACGTGTGCAATCTCCAGAGTCTACCTGAACTTAATCCCTTGATCTTGCTCTGTCATCCCTTACGCCTTTTTCAGACTATTTCTTCAACATGTTAAAATCATCTGGAGCCAGATGCTTTGTTGAGATGCATGGTAACACAACAGCTTTTCTTCTGTGTATAAAGTCTTGTTTTCCTAAATACTCCCAAGGCTGAGCTTTTCCTACTTAGCCTTAAACCTTACCACTTTTCTCAGCTGTGCTAATTGCATCCTCACATTTGGCCATTTTAGATGCAATTAAAAAAGACATTAAACACTTTCATCTGCGCATTGTAATCTCCCTATTATCTTCTCCATTCCTGGAGTAATGAGCTAACATTTTCCTCCATCTCCTTTTTAGTGAATGATTAAATTCTGTTACCTTCTGTGTCTCTTGCTAATTTAATTTTAATTTTCCAGACCTTGCTTTACATGACTATGTTCATACTCATCCTTGGACATCTGGTTTTGTTTCTTCTTGTTGTGGTTCCTTATTGTCTTTGAGACCAGTGAAAAGAAGTCAGAGTTGTTTATTTCTAGTCTTTTCTCTGCATCTCCACTTCTGTGTTTAGTGTTGTTTCTTTGGGGAACTAACTCTCTCTAAGTCCTCTGTTTCTTGGCAGTTTCCCAAGCTTGTTGAAGTCTGTCTGTCTGAAACTCGTTGGGTTAGTTTTTTTCTCTTCTCTTGACTTGCCTCTCCAAGGACCATGAAATTTACCTTTTCATGGTAACTCCCATCCACGTTGCCTTCCACCTTCCCTTTCTTACACTGTTCCTCCCTGAGACTCTGTGCTGAGACTCAAACCTAGAGGACCTTTTTCCTCTAATTCCTTTCTGGGTCTTCTGAATACAAACAAAAGTTGTGATAAAACTGTGCCATAAAGGGGCTGAAGAGTTTTTATGCTGCTGAATTCTGTTTGTTCAACAAATGTCTCTAACTGTAGCTAAAATATTCCACTTCCCACAAGACCTGTGCTTCAGATGTCTCTGATAGTTATTCTCAAAGAGCCTCATACATCTTATCTTCATAAATGGATGGCCTTTAACAGACTCCAGTAAACTCTGACAATAGTGTCCTATTTCCACCTTTGCATACTTTCAGCAAGGCTAACTCCATCTGTCAGAACAAGCTTATACATACAATGCTCACAAAGTGATGCTTCTTATCTCTTTGCTGTCCATTCTTCTTGAACAAGCAGCATCCTTTTCTGTCAGCATTCCAGTCATATGAGTGATTCAGCCATGTCTCTGTGATTTCAGTGAGGCTGTAATCTGTATTAAAACTCCAAGTTAGAATACAGAGAATGCTTATTAAATGCTGATTTCACTATGCTGCTTTCACTACTATGCCAACATCTAAGACTGATGCATTATTCTCTCATTCCTTCTGTGGCATTGTGACAAAAAACATTTTCCTTCTTAGTTTTAAGGTCTTCCTCTTCTGTAGTTTGCTGTGGTGTATATGTGAGCACATACTGATCATGTGGTTTTTATTCCCTGTACAGTCTTTTTCCTGAAACATCATGTCATAGGTGAGAAAATGAGGGTTTTTTGAGTCTCAACATTATTTTATTCTTTTTGTGGTTACTGGTGCTTAGGACACTAGTCTGAAGTCTTTCAAGCCAGCATTTACTCTCAGGAATCATGAGTAGTGACTCTTTCTCTAAACCAGAACAAGTTGCCTTAAAAATACATTTGTCTCAGCTCAAGAATGAAATTTCAATAATCGGGATGAGTTGACGACATAAATGTACCACTAGGAATAAGTGAAGAGGTGGGGGAAAGTGCCTGTGTTACTAAGCAGAATTTAATCTATTTCCTACAGACTAGATAGACGGAGCTCTTTCTGTTCCTTAGGTTGGAAGGGGTTGTAGCATGCCATACCAGCAGGAATGCTCACTTCATCTACATGCAAGAGTTTTTTCTAACCTCAGTGACCACACAGCCCAGACCCAAAGTTCTCAGCAATAACACAAATGGAGGGAATTGTCAGTCATGGGAATGCTTCAACACATTCTGTGTTGCCCAGAAATGTAAGAGACCATCTGGAATTAGTGTTGAATACTTTTGTTAATGACCTCATGATGGAATATTGAGAATGTTTATTAAATTTACAGATGACACCAGGCAGAGATTACTTGTGAGTCTGGTAGAGGACAGGATTAGAATTCAAAATTATCTTGCCCACACTGGATGGATGCTCTGAAAAAAAAATATAATGCAATTTGATGAAGACACACAATACATACACTTAGACAGGAATGATCATCAGCATAAGCCCATAATGACAATTATTAGAAAGTTTGCACAAAAACAACTGGGAAGAACTTCAGCAGATCACAGAAGGAGTTGTCAAATGTGCAACTGTGTCATACTCCTGTGAAAATGTCAAATATTATCCTGGGATATATAAGTAGGAATAGATCTTAGATGATACATTCTACTTAGCACTGGGAGGGCCTCAGGGGCAGTACATGGTCCAGTTTTGGGCACTGCACTTCTGAAAAGATACAGACTGTTTGGAGGAAGGCAGGGCAGGAGCAACACGGTAGTGCAGAAGACTGGCAAAATTGGAATTGGAGAAGTGTGCAAGGAGGCTCTTTAACAGTGGAAGAAGCATGAAATAAACTTCAGATAAACAAAGCTTCTGCAGAGAAGAAGGAAAGTACCTGTTGTCCCAGCCTGAGAACTCAAAGACATAAGTGCATCAGGAAAGATGCAGATCAGGCATTGCTAGGAAAACTTTTCTGCTGGTCAAAAGAGTGTCACACTGAAAGGAGTTTTCTGGGAAAGAGGTCTCTACTCTGGAAAGCCTAAAGACACGCATCTTCAGTTAAGGTGAATTGTTGGTACAGAAAGCTTTGGGCAGCCTCTCAAAGAGGTCTGGCTAGCTGAATACACAACTGTGGCCTATGAACCAGAAATAAAGGCAATATTGTAAATCAAGAAGCTTAAGGGAGTTATCCACTTGCATCCTGTCTTGAATCTAAGCAACCTTGAGCCATGTCCACTCTTAAAAAAAATCAGACATTGTTCCTACATGCTCAAAATGGGTACTCCAACTGCACTGGGATCCTGTGTTCTCTGTCACTTGGAGATGTTTAACCATGTCCTGCTTGATGGCTCCTGAATGCCTCAGGTATGCCTGGGTGGAAGGGACCCACTGGGCTGCAGTTCACCAAGGGGTAATGCTACTCTGCCAGCAAGGCATACCACCAAGAAGGTCATGGTCTTGGGAACCAAGGGAGCAAGGAGTAGCCTGATCATCTTTAATTGAGTATGACCTGTATTTAGAGCACTGGTGATGCAGAGATGGTGTCCTTCCAAATGGAGTTTAGATTTGCCTGTCTTCCATTTATTTAAAGTTATTACCTCTGCATTGGTTCTGTTTGGCTTTCAATGATGTTCCAAGTAAGTAATTTTAAACTCCTATGATTCACATTATGCCTGACAAATGGTGCCCACAATGGAAAATTCTAGGAGTTTCATGATGAAAACCATATTTAGTGTTAGTAGTATCCATATATAGTAGAGACTGATGGTAATAAAGTGAATGAAAAGCAATATGCTGGTAAAGATTGGAAATGAAATCTCTAGAGTGAGACTTTTTCATATGACATATGATTTAAAGGACATGCTAGAAATATTTTGGCAGGAGATCAAATACCACTGTTCTCCACATTTAGGTTTGATGTTTGATCTTTCTTCTTGGTCAGGTTCTAGAGAGAAAAACCACACACACACACATACATACACAAAAACTTCTTCTGTTCATCTTCTGTTTTTTTACTTGCAGCTCCTCCTCCCACTTCAGTGCAAGCCCCTCCCAGCTTCCACATCACCACAGGGTTATTAATCAGTTGTGATATCCACATGACCTCCAGTTTCTGCTCTCTTTGGTCCCTCTACTCCACTAGCTGAACTATTTCTAATTGGCTAATCAGCTTATCCGGTTTGGCTCTTGATGCAAACCAGGTCTAGACATGATCTATTCCTGGGAGGCCCCTGGGTTCAAGGGGCCAATCTCACACCCTGTCCATCACTATTGTCAGCACGGTACCCTATCTCAAAGACATGCCAATGAACATTAGTGAGAGATTAAAATGACAGCCTTGGTTTTCTTACATGCCTTTTAATCATCGTAACATGCAGTCTAATGTTTCACTCTGTCTTCCTTTCCCTGCAAGACCATGTTCTCAAGGAAGAAGCCAGGAGGGATGAGAGCAGGTCAAAGACCACAGCAGGGTGAAAGCGGTGGAAAGGAATTAAAATGGAGGGTGGGGGAGGAAGAGGATGAGATAAGAGACAAAATCCAAGTCAGAATCTGGCAGCCAGACAGAGAGACAAGGCTAGAATTTAAATTCCTTCATGTGGTTCCCACAGGCTGACATCTTAGAGGTACCACTCATGTCACACAGGCATGCCACCAACATGTGCCAGTGCTGGTGCCTACCACAGGCTGCCTGATATCCATAGCCACAGACGTGAAAGGTGATTTTCACAAGTGCTGCACATTTCAACTAGTCTTGGGAAGAGCTGGGAGGCTTGGCTGCTCTGGAAACCAAGCTGCCTTTATTGAAGTGCCTGCATATGGATTCAGTAGCTGACTTTTAGACCTTTGGGTTTCTGAAAAAGTCTCAACCTGGTCACTTAGCTGTAACTTTATGCAATTACCGGCCATTTAGACAAATGACAATCAGAGGGCTCCATGCAATAGGATCATGTCTGAATTCCTTCTTGGTCTCTCTGGTAGTGAATAGTTGGCGGCTCTTCTTAAACAAAGCCCCATTCTCTCTGCAAAGAAGTGTCAGTGTAAAAGGCGGATGGTCCCGTATGAATATCTGCTACACAGGCAGGCATAAAGAAGGTCTCCCATGCCCCAGTTGGAGAGCTGTGTGGCTGTGTTAACAGCATGCACAACCGAAGTTAATGACCTCACTTGTCCAAGACTTTCTTGTGCTCGGCCAGCTCTGAATGCAGACAGAGCAAGTTCACACCTGCCTGCAAAATACCATATGGACATCATCCGTAACAAACTTGCTCAGATGGTTCGTTTCTAAGGGGCATTCAAACTTTTCCTAGATGTATGTGTGTTTTTTCCTCTCTCAGTCATGCTTTCACTTAAAATTTTAGCTAGAGTAATATCGCCTCCTTAGCTTTTCAGCTCCTTGGTCCAAAACTATTTGGCTGGTGGGATGTGTGAATTCCTTTAGCCAACCAGTGGAGCATGTAATTAGCTCTATATGCACGAATGAATTACGCATATGTTTTGCTATGTGGCTTCAGCTGGTAACTAAGCATGAGAAGTTTCCAGCTAGAAAAGGAAACCAGTGAGAAAGTTAGGAAAGGCTGTGAAGTGGGCAGTGCACAGGACATGTCTGGTTTTCCTTTCTCCCTTTCTGCTACATACCTGATTCTTCCTGCATCCTCATTTTTTAGGCTGCACTTTCATGGAATACATGTTCTTCAGAGGACGCTGGGAGCATACTGCAGGACATGCTCTGTTTTCAGTGCGTCACATTCTGTTTTCACTCAGCACCGACTCTGGATGACTTTTCCTGATCCAGTAAAGATTAAGTTTGCCCAGCTGCAGAGGTTACCATGAGTCCTGCTCACCCATCCCAACCTGTCTGAGCAGGAGACAGAACCAGAGCCTTGCAATCACACACCTGTCCAGCTTATGAAGTTACTGTCTCTTGGCTGAAATGAGGTGTGCGGCTCTGTGTGTGTGTTGCTGAGGCTCTCGCAATACAAAGTCAAATGAGTTTGCTTGAACCACTTCACAGTCCAGCTACATCATGTACTTGCAGATAGAGCTTACTGAGAAAGCAGCTGTCTTACTGAAGAGTTGCACTACTTTGCTCCTTTTTGTCATCTGTTTAGCAATTCTTTAAGGATGCGAACTTTAAAGCAGGTCAGAGTTGAGGGAAATTTCATATTTGTCAGCCTTTTCTCAGTCTTTTAGTGGAGTACTCAGCTCATGTTGAGTTGGCCTTCTCTGAACAAGGGGAATGTAACCCTGCTGGTAGCATCATTATATTATTTATATAGCAAGTTACAGTGCAGAGTTCAGACTCTTTTTTTACATTTCTGGGTGGGAAAAAAAATGATTAGAATGTTTTACATAAGCACAACTTACCCTGTCCATTTCAATACTAAATTTTTGTAATGCATCCTGGCATGTTAGAGTGATTATTTTTTAATATAAAGAATAACCTAATACACAGACTTTCCTCCTGTTGAAATCCATCCTGCTTTTTAAAACAATACCATGCCCAGATGGAGTAGGATGGATAGAAACTAATATTTTCAAAGAGAGGATCTTTTAATAGACTATCAGATTTCACTCAATTTCGTGGTGAGAGAAAACCATAAGTGGATTCAATGTAAATACTGTTGTCTTTCACTGTTGTTGTACCAAACCGAGGCATCCAAGGCCCAAACCAATGTTAGCCCGAGTCAGCAGAAGTCTTTGCACCACCTCTCTGGTTCTCAGGCATCCAAATGAAAGCTATCCAGCTAGGCAGCACAGTCAGAGCCTCTGCCTCTGACCTCCCTCTGATATTGCACACCAGGTGACAGATTTTGCAGATGGGGAAAGGCTGAACAGCAAGCCTTTCGGCCTCTTATAGATGTGGTTAAATTATCTTAATGTATTTAAACAAAGTGCAATGTCAAAGTAGCATAAATACCATATTTCAGCAAAATGGCTGCTTCTCCAGTGTTCTGCTTGCTGATGCCAAATGAAATACTTCTCGTTGTTTATTCACAAAATTCCTTCTTGCCCACTGAATTTTCATATTGCTGGGCTGGGCCAAATAATCAGTTTCCTTTTAAAATAGAAAAACCATTAGTGCATTCCAATAGGCTTTTCATGTTACATTAAAAACCCTTGGGAGTGCAACATGATTAGCCTATTTTGGTTTTAATTACTGATAATTGGAGCCTACCTGTGGGGAAACTCTGAAAGGCACACAACAGCCAGCCATGCACACCGAGACATTTATGGGGCAGCTAAAGGAGGAGGCTTGAAATGTGTGGTAGCCATTTGGTATATTAGTAGTATTTCCAGCCTTTTTAAAAAGGATGCCCTATGTGCTAAGAAACACACCTGCATCACTTCAGAGATTAATGTGCAATTTCTTGGCAGTATGTGTGGACATTTCAGTTGTCCATTAGAACGATATAAAACCAGAGGAGAATTTTTTTTGATCAGCTTTAATTGAACAGGAATCTCTTTTCCTTAAAATAACCTAGGTGTCTTGGGAAATTTACAAGCCTCCATGAATGCCTGGACAAAAAGTAAAGAAATGACAGAGGCCCCCAAAAGTATAAATCCTCCTCTATCCTCCTCCATTAGTCAAGTCTCTTCTGTGAATGAGTTAACTTAAAAAAATCATATTACTAAGTATTTTATCAAAGCAAACATTTAATCAAAGTGAAAGGAAGAGATACTAGTCCCCTTCTGGAATGGGATGGAGACTGCCAAGATGTGTTTTAATTTCTTAAGAAAACAAACTATGTTAAACACTGGGTTTTAAGCAAGCAGATGCTCATTTATCATTCGTTTTGTCTGTGCATGCGCTTGCGATCCTACTGAACACAAGTTTTATGAAATGGAAATGACCACATGGCCAATACCTCAAAAATTAATTCAACATGCCCTGCCTCTTGCGTGCAACACATCCTTTTAATGGTGCTTTTCTTCTTTTTTTTCAGCATTGGACAATGGAAACAGAACAACTGCCATCGTGGGAGTTTGGTTCGTTGCAGAGACAAACAGTGACTGATGCCGTATGCTATGAGCAGAGTTTGGATACTTTGCAAAGGCTGTGCTTTCACGGCCCCACTTCTTTTAGAGGTTATCTCACATTAAAAAAAAAAAAAAAAAAAAGCTTTGCTACTGTTTTAACTCTGGTCTTGCTGCAGACTTCCTAACTGGGGTCCTAGACCATGTGAGAGGGCCTATAAGAAGTGACCTTCCGCTGCCTCAGAACCATGCTGAAGTGCTTTAGGCTGAGTGTTTAGGGTGCCAGAGATGTCCAGGGATGACAGCAGTTCATGCACGCACCAGGTTTTCTCCTCATACATCACAAAACAGCTAAAGGCTGGCTAAGGAAAACATGAGTAAGCAAAATAGAGTAGCATTATAAGCTCAAACTCCTAATTTGCAGGTACAATTGCCACAGTCACTGGAGATTTACATGGTAAGGGCCAAACTGATTTCAGACTGGTTGTTCATGAGCAAAATTAAAGTGCAATTATGACCATGGGTCCTGATGCAGAAAAAAGACTCATTCAGTTGAACACAACTAATGGCCACACATGTCACTGAAGACCGTAGCTTTCACCTTCCTCGAAAAGACTCAAGTGGCAGCCATGAACCTGAAGCATAGCCCAGTGACATCATTTATAGTTACCCACCTTGTCTTAGTCAGGGCAGTATGTTTCCCTAGTCAGCAGAGTATAACTTGTTCATTTTTTTGTATCATCTTTGTCGTGCCCAGTCTGCTGCTTTGTTCCTCTGCTAGTGATCACAACTCACCTGCTCAGCAGAGCTGCCCTAAAGCTCTACAATCAAGAAGTGACACTGGCTGATGATGAATGCTATCAGCATATCATCACAGTGACTGACATCTTTGACACCTCATAAACCCATACTTTAAACAGTCACATACCAGAAGAATCATTTGCTGACCTGTGCTGATGCAAACAGCAATAGCAGAAGCATGTTAAGTCTGCATACGCAGCTAACAGTTTTGATACTCTATATTATTAGATGCCACAATAATAATTAACTATAAATACCATACACCATGCATGTGACATAGCTACTCGCCTGGGCTTGAACCTTGAGTTAAGGGCAGCAAGGATGACAGAAGCGAGAAAGGAACAGTGCCTGTGTTTCAGCTCGCCCCTTGCCTGCTTCCAGAGAAGTTGAGCCTCAGTTTCTTCAGATCCGAGTATCTGAAGAAATACTTGCTATCTGGAATATTCCCAGTCTACCAGGGAAGTAACCAGACATTTGTCTTCCCAACAGCATTGAAAACCCCCACTGTGGCTGCCCACAAATAGAGACATTAGTCATAATACTAGGGGTTAGGGGAATAGAGTATTTCATTTGGAAGGGACCTGCAATGATCATCTAGTTCAACTGCCTGACTAATTCAGGGTGAAACAAGTTAAGCCATGTTTAGGGCATTGCTTAATTGCTTCTTAAGTGGCACTGACCACCTCGCTAGAAAGCCTGTTCAGTATTTGAGCACCCTCTCAGTAAATAAATGCTTCCTAATGTCCAGTCTAAACCTCCCCTGATGCAGTTTTGAACCATTTCTATCAGTGGATCCCAGGGAGAAGAGCTCAGCATCTCCCTTTCCACTTCCCCTCCTCAGAGAGCTGTAGAGAGCAAAGAGGTTACCCCTCAAACTTCTTTTCTACAAACTAGACAAGTCCTAATTAGGCATTCCTTATAGCCCTTTCACCGACTTTGTTGCCCTTCTCTGAATCCAGTGACCTTCACATCCTTCTTAATCTGTGGGGCCCAGAACTGCACACAGTGCTCAAGATGAGACTGCACCAACACTGCATACAGCAGAATAATCAGCTCTTTGGACCTGCTGGTTGTGCTCTGTTTGATGTGCCCCAGGAACGTGGTGCCCTCTTGGCTGCCAGGGCTCACTGCTGACTCACAGTGAGTCTGCTGCTGAGCAGCACCCCCAGAACCCTCCCTTCAAGCCACTCCTCTCCCAATTTATACTTGTGCTCAGCATTACTCTGGATTAGTTAAATTTCATCCTATTTATCATAGCCCAATGCTCCAGTCTACCTAGACCCTTCTCAAGGCCTTCTGTCCCTCAAGAGAGTGAACACCACCTCTCAGTTTGGTATCATCAGCAAACTTGCTAATGATGCATTCAAATCCTGTATATTGGACCGGATAGTGTCCTTTGCAAATAAATGCATACTGATATTTTTGATTTCAGTTTTATATTTGATTAACCATTGTAATTTTAGAAAACAATTCATTGAGGTGTGGCCACATGTCACATCTCAATGAAAGCCTTTTGAACTGCAACTTTCTCTAAGGAAATTGGTTTTGTGCTTTGAATTACCTGCAAATCTCATTCATATGTCTGATTTTTTTTTCCTGGTAATATCATCTTAGTGTCAGCACTCAGGAAGGTTAACTAACAACAGGGATGAAAGGTCCTTAGAAAGACAGGCTCTGTTTGGTGCTGATTGCTAGGAAATCATTCCTAATGTCTTCATCTCTGCCTTTTCTTGCTTTTTGCGATAGTTACTCTGTTTGGTAACTGCCTACTCTACTCTTCAGAAAGGAATTTATTTTTCAGCCAAAGGAGAATAGACCTTGGAAAAAGTCTGGAGGTGTCAAAACTGACAGCCAAACCTCACCAACACTCATAGGAGGAAATCCAGATATATCCAAGGGAGAGCTCATTCACAGAAGAACCAAGATGGATTTGTGGAGAAGTATTTTAATAATATTAGCAACTAGTGTTTGTTTCAAAAGTCAGTATCCAGTGTGTGTATAGATGGTAAATATTTATTTTAAATAATAATATTTTCAACATGGAGCTGGTCCATTGAGCAATGTCCTATTCAATATGTTCGTAAGTCAGTGAGTGAGCTGAGAAGGGACTCCAGGTTTCCTACTAGCCTGCTATCAACTTCTGTGCATGTCAGGCCATGCACTCCCCCTGGGCAGGTTGCCATTTCTCTGCCAAGGAAGAGGTGACTCCTATCTGCACTACATTACATAAGGGGCCTCTGGTGGTCTAGTGGTTAGGGTGCAGGACTCCCACCGCTGCGACCCGGGTTCGATTCCCGGCCCCCCGGGCAGATGGAGCTCGTTAGCCCTGTGAGGCAATCCATCTAAGAGAAGGTCACTCTAAACAAACCTACGTTCTGAGACCCTCACTGCCATTGCCCGAGTTTCACTCGGCCCCGGCAGATGAACCTCAGGATTAAAGGGTGGGCTCAGTTCAGCGCACGCTGTGTCTCACCTAAAAAAATCCACTGCGCAGGTTCGAAGGGTTAATGACCTTTCCCAAATCTTCGCTCGCGAAGACTGGCCATTATTATTATTAACATTACATAAACAAGTCACCCAACTTCACTGCTAAGGAGACATCTGTAGGATCAAGATCACACTCCATCTCCAACTCTCTGATTGCCTACTTTGTTCTTAGTCTGGCTCACACTTAGGCTGAGGCCATTGATCTACAGACCAGGGATAAACAGGCACAAAAGAGAGTGCTGACCAGGACTTGGATACTGCCCCCACAGGCATTGTGGGTCCCAGCAGGCTGGGCCATGCCGTGTGCTGAATGCTCTTGCACAGCAGTGGGTCCCATTAGCACTGTAATAAGCCATAGGCTGAGCTTTAAAATGACTATACAGAGAAGATCCAGGAGACAAACCTGGCTTACATGTTAGTTTATAAGAGTTTGACCATCTTCTACTGTCATGTCTGAGAGTATTTCCTCAGAAAATTTTATTTTTTCCTTATCTCATGATTTGCTGTTTGTTTGTTTAAGGTTCCTGAAACACAGTCCAAGCAGGTTGAACCTTGTGACTTGTGGCTGACTGAATAGTGCTTTGCAAACAAATGTGCCATGACCGCAAACTAAAAACAGTGGGCTTCAGTCCCAGGGAGATCGCCTTTAGCAAGTCTAGTACCTCGCATAGTGGAGTCCATGTCTGCACACATCCAAAGTCCACTTCTGGAGAGGCAAGCTGGCCTTCAGACTGACACCCCAGCTGCCTGCTAACCTTCAGCCTTCCACAGCTACATCATCCCTGCAACATGAACAGTCCCCTGTCTTGTGGTTCAGTGAAAAGGCAAACACGAATCATGGGGAAGAAATTACTACTCTGTTTTGGTTGTCCTTTCTGGCATCTGGTGGCATTCCCACCATGTCCCCTTGAAAGTCCTGATCGTTCTTTTAAGACTGCCTCTGTGCTGATAATTCAGTACAACAGCAGCACCTGTTATCCCAATCTCCTCCTCCAGTGCTGGCTGCCTTGGGCTTGTACAGCAGGTACCTCCTGCCTCTGCATCCCATTCTGCCTCACAGGGAAGGTATGGTCGGATGTCTCTGATGGTCAATGAGTGTATTTAGCATACCAGCTCATGCTCAGTTCCCTGTACCTTTTCTGTGGCTATTTTACCTATTTGGTCTCTGGGTACAGCCCATGATGCAAAGCCTGGAGTCTCCCTCTGCTGAAGGACTGTCACTAGTTGTGGCAAAACACACAGATTGTCTAAGTCAGATGGTGTCTTTCAGAGACCTTCCTTCTAAGACTTTCTGTGCAGTGCTGCTCTTGTGCTGACCTCTATCATCAGTACACCTGCTCAGGAAGGCTCACAGGCCCTCCTGGCTGCAGCACAGTAACATGAAGTCTCCCTTGGTATTGTCTTCTGTACTGCAGCCTCAGATTTTTAACTTCCTGGTGGTACAGGAGAAGAAGAGCATAAGACAGGAAGATCAGGAGCCAGCAGTTTTAAACCGCCCCCTCTCCTGAATGTATCTGGCTTTTTAGAGAAAATTTCTATCTCAGAAGCCATACTTATCTTATTTTACCCTCTTAAATAACTCAGCAATAATTCCTAGCCTTTCAAAAAGTGATAGGGGTGAATGCAAATGTTTGTGCCTCCCAGTGTGCATGTCCTCGATGTTGTCCATGCACCCCCCAACTTGCAGTTGTCTTGAGGCAGCAGCAACTATGTGACTGAGTTTGAGCCAATTATTTCAAAGGTTAACCCCTGAGGATTTTAACACCTTCACAAATCAACAGTGGTGAAGATGCTAGATGTGCACTTTGGCTTCACAAGACTACAGTCATGTCACTGTTACTAGAACAGATGTTGAGACCCATTTTATATATATATAAATTTTTTTATTTTTAGTAAATTATATAAATGCACATATGCCAAATATAAGTGAATTACTATTATTATTATTATTATTATTCCTTTCTTAACACCTCAATTAGCCTATTTCTCAAAAGTCCTCTGACATCTGAAAGGTTGGCTTCTCAGCTCCATCTGTCCCATGCGTGCTCCCTAAAGCGGGGGAATGCCAATTATCAGCCCCATGGGGGCTGTAAAACCTAAATGCTTTAGGCAACCCAGAAGTTCTTTGCTCTATCATCCACCTTGACAGTAAGAGGCAACGGCCCTGTGAAAGGCTTACCTTGCTCCCAGCTAATTCTTTTTCTCACCTGGAGAAGGGAGGTCTGAGAGCAAATACCTCGGGGTTTCTAGTTTCTGGACAGAAAGGGAACTTGTTGGTGTGCAGTTTGTTGGTTTGGGAAGTTTGTCTTTGCATAGACTACAGACTCTGATTAATGTGATGTTGTTGCTATGGCCATTGCTCTATCCTGCAATGTTTTCTGTTTCTGTCTTTGCTGACAAGGCCTTTAGCACCAGTCTAAGGGCAACTAGTAATAACAGGGAGGAACAGAGTCATAATGACCGTCCTCTGAGCAAACAATTGATATGCTAATGACGTTGGTGGGAACGCAGCTCCTATCTACAAAGACAGGGACTGGAGAATGAAAATAAGACAGGGCAAAGAACAGAGGGGATTAAAAAAATGAAGGAGAATCCTGTGGGATTTTTCCAAGGACCTAGAATAATCTTTGTGGAGGAAAGGGAAGGATCCAGTGTGATTTGTACTGGGAGCAAGTCTGATTTATTAGCTGAGTTAGCAGAGGAACTGACTCAAATTTAATATTACTCCACCATAGAGAGGATATGGAAGTAAAGAAATCTATGCAGAGGTTTTTTATTTGAATTTTATCTTCTGTGCACTTCTGGTACTGAGTAAACAGCTAAGTTGTTCCAGAATCCCATCTCAACCCAAAGGCATGTTGCCTTTTCAAACCGCCAATTATGTGCTCTAAACAGGTACAAAGGATGACCAGATCTCCCAGGTACCTGTGGTCCTGAAGAATGGGGTGTTTTGAAAGTGGTGGCTGGAACACAAAGCAGTTGTGTTTGAGGCTTCACCTCTCTACAGAACAGCAAGCAAAGTCAGTGCCCTAGATGTGTTTCAAGACAGATCATGGAGAAAAGGGAATTGCAGTCTTCCACAGTGTGTCAGGGCCATGGGAACAGTTATGTGAATGCCTAAAGAGGAGATCTGCTCTGGCCAAGTCATGAGCAGTTGCATTTCACACTCATTCTTTTCTTATTTGCCACCAAAATAATCTATGATTGAACTAGCCATATTATTTTAGAAAAAAATGCATTGTCAACCAAAGACTTCAAATAATGGAAAATCTGGAAATCTCTTGTGACTCTCCTCCAGTACTAACACCCTCACTATTACAGACTTATTTCTTCTCTCAATTTTTTGAACTTCAGCTTCCACATTTCAGAGTAAAGAACTGCTCTATCTAGATACTTTTTTGTGTAGACACTTTTTAACCCCAACTAAGTTGTCTCAGCTGTCTCTTTGATCAGCTAAATAGACAGAATTTCTTAAATCTCTCTTTGTAGGGTGCATTTTTCTCACCAAGAACCATTTTCATTCAGTCTAGGATTTGAGCTGAACAAAGCTGAGGGAAAAACTTTGGCCAGACTCTGTTTTGAGAAAACTTAGGAGATAGATGTTAGTATCTGATTACATTTGGTGTTAATACAAACTTGATTATGCAGCAATAAATTCTGCAGCTTGTATTGTTTTGCAATGACAAAAACCTGAGTCATCCATTACACTTCTCTGTGAACTTCTTCCCTTTGAAATGATTATAACAAGCATGATTATATTGCATCAATATAAATCAACAGTGATGCCCTGTCCTGGTTACAATATATTGACGTTTTATTCACAACATCATGGGTTTCTTTTCAGGCATTTTCAAAAGTATAAATCTCCCTTTCAGGGTACTCAGTAGCAAAATTAGCATTTGCTTTTTGTCCCTGTGTTACAATTTTTTCATGGTTGTCAGTCCAAGTATTTGGCCTTCAGAGCTGTCTGAGGGAAAGCATAAATCAGATATATAAAAATCCAGTATATAAAATTGTGAGTTCTCTCACAAGCAAGAAAAAAGTTCCTTTTTGCAAGTGTAAAAGTGAAGGTGAATCTCTGTTTAAAAGTGTGGTCACTGCTTTTTCACTTCAGAAAACGTTGCAGCATTATGTTACTACAGTGAGAAAATTGTTATAGGTCAGCTAAAGGCCAGTAAATTGTAACATGCTCTTGCATCTCCCATAGAAGAAATCATGATCTCATGATGGAAATGTTCTCTGGGCTATATTATTACTGCAACTTGTCCTCTAAGAACGAGGGCAGAAGCTCGTAATGGATATGGTGCCGGCACAGTTACAGGAGCGTACTCTCCTATCCACATGCCTCTGCACCACTTCTCCTCCCACAGAAAGGTCAATGACAGAGAGGTGAGAGGATTTACATACGCAGTGCCCTAGAAAGAAGTACTTCTAGCTAGGTTGGGCCTGGGCTGTAAACAGTCCCACTTATTTCAGCTAAACATTATTAGGGTCATAAAATGTCTCAAGATTCATGCAAACTTCATGCCAACTTGGCTGCAGCCCAGGTTCATCTGCTGTAAAAGCCTCCTGAGAACAGTTGGGGAGCTTGGGAGAACCCTGAGTCAGAGCCTGAAAGGGGTTGCTTTGGGAGGTTTCATGTCCGGTTTTGGCAGGCCAGCTTTCTGTGGGATGAAAGCACTGCAAAAAGAAAAGGAGGTCTTACAGCATCTTGAGGCCCTCTGTGCCTGTAAGTGACATCTCCAAGTCAATGGCTGGGGCATCCTGATTTTCGGGTTCATCTGAAAGTGCAGATGTACTGCTTTGGAAAACAACTCAGACTGTGGTGTTGCAAGTTGAGGTTTTGCAGTGCTGCCGGCTTCCATGCTCCAGTGTACAAGGTTGGCCCAGTAATGCTCAGAAATTATTTATTATGCAGGCTTTCTTTTCAAGGCAGTGGCCTTTCCTTCTCAGGAAGGTAACAGCTTGTTCCTCTCTCTTTGCAAAATCACTGACTGCCACATTTAACTAGTGGATGGGCTCAGTGCTTGTCCTACTTTTCCCCATCCAGTGGTGGGGCATGGGTATGGGGGGAGGTTCAACAGAGTAACCCAAGGCTACAGTTGCAGGCTGGGGATGGGTTTGGGAGGATGGGGGCATCCCACTTGGATCAATGCAAGGCATACCAGGCATATTGGTGATGCCAGCTGGGATAAAGCTGGAGGGGTGAGGGATGCTGGAGCCAAGAGTGCCAGCAAGCTCCTGCACACCTCTGAGGTCATCAGCTCTGACCAGGGCATGCTGTAGTACAGGGAGAGAGGGGAGGCCCTCCCAGGCCCAGGAAAGGGCTGTGCTCCAGTGGCACGAGAGTAATAAGGCTGCGGCAGCCTGGCGCTGCCTGATTACCTTACAGTGACATGATGACATGCTTTCCAGTTCCAGGGGACATCTTCCCAAAAGAGATTTTGTATGCTAATCCCTCCTCCCCCCAACAGCCAGGCCTGAGGCTGCCGGCTGCCTGAGCTGCCAAATTCCCAGCAGGAGTACCCTCTGGTGCACTGATAAGAGGGGATAAAAGCCACTCTACCCAAGCTCCCTTGGCTGTGGTGGGTTCTCCCCAGAGCCCTGTGCAGCCAGCCCCCCACTGGATGCTCCTCCTCACCCTGGGAGGGTGATGCAATCACCCAGTCACCCAGTGGGGATGGTGCCTTCGTCCAGGCAAGCCACAGATTGGGTCACCCGAGACCCTGGGAAGAAGGGAGAGGATTCCATAGCTCACCACACCTGTCTTGGTGACTCTGTCAGCATCTGTCTCCTTTGCTGTGCTGGTCAGCCTGTGAAGCAAAACTGGGCATGTCAGTGATGGACGAGGCTCTTCTCCAAGGGATTACCACTGCCTGAAATACAGGCAGCTCTTTGATCCAAAGCTCAGCAAGCAGAAGAGGGTCTGCTCTCTCCCATGGTGGTCTCTGAAGCTACCCATGACCCCTGGGGCTAGCAAAAATATATCCCACCGGTCAGAGCACCCTGAGGGTTTGCTCAGCTGTGCTAATAGAAGCCTCCTCTGGGAGCTGGTAATGGCTGGAGTAGACCACAGATCTTGTCATGGACATAAGAGCAGTAATACACAGCTCTTTTGTTGATACTCCTGTCCCATGGGGAATTCACCAGTGACCAAACACTTGGGCATATAAGCTCCTCTGCTTTGCTGCAAAAGATCTGAAATACAGTCAAGTTTCGGGCTCCTAGTGTTTTGATTGGGTTTGCTGTCATGCCTTCGGAGATAACTCTTTTAATTTACATTGCACCAAACACTCCCAGTCAACCCTGAATTGTGCCAGACCTGCTGCTCCAGCTGGATCCCTACAAATCTACCTGATGGGATTCATCCCAGAATCCTCAAAGAGCTAGTTTGTGTCACTGCACAACCTCTCTGGATGATTTTTTTAGCAGTCTTGAGCAACCAGAGAGGTCCCAGCTGACTGGAAGCTGGTGAAGGTTGTCCCAGTTTTCAAGAAGGGCAAGAAGGAGGATCCTGGAAACTACAGGCCTCTCAGTCTCACTTCAGTGTCTGGTAAAGTTTTGGAGAAGATTATTCTGGGAGGTATTGAAAAACACCTGAAAGACAATGCAGTTATTCATCACTGTCAGCACGGCTTCATGAGAGGAAAGTCCTGCTTATCCAACCTGATTTCCTTTCATGACAAGGTAAACCACCTAGCTGATCAAGGGAAGCCAGTTGATGTAATCTTTTTGGATTTCAGTAAAGCTTTTGATATTCTCTCATAGGATCCTTCCGGACAAAATGTCCAGCACACAGCTGGACACATATCATGTGGTGGGTGAGCAACTGGCTCAAGAGTTGACCACAGAGGGTAATAGTGAATGGGGTGACATCAGACTGGCGACCTGTCACTAATGGGCTTCCACAGGGCTCCATCTTAGGCCTATGCTCTTCAACATCTTCATAAATGACTTGGACATGGGACTGGAAGGGATACTAAGTAAGTTTGCAATTGATACAACATTGGGAGGAGCTGTTGACTCCCTGGAAGGCAAGGAGGCCCTGCAGAGAGACCTTGTCAAATATGAGGGCTGGGTAATCACCAGCTATATGAAGTTCAACAAGGGGAAGTGCCAGATTCTGCACCTGGGATGGGGCAACCCTGGATGTACAGACAGACTGGGGAACAAGATGCTGGAACACAGTGCCACAGAAAGGAATCTGGGGGTCCTGGTCGATGCCAAGTTGAATATGAGTCAGCAGTGCCCTGGCAACCGGGAGGGCCAACCATGTCCTGGGGGGCATCAGGCAAAGCATCACCAGCTGGTTGAGGGAGGGGATTGTCCCGCTCTGCTCTGCACTGGGGCAGCCTCACCTTGAATATTGTGTGCAGTTTTGGGCACTGCAATATAAGAACAATATTAAACTCTTA